TTTCTCCTCCATGTTACTTTCCAGACTTACTGGCTGACTCCGATTTTGAAATTCATGTTACTTTTCCAGGAAATCAAAACATTATTTTCTATAGGGAATGAATTTTAAATGATTTATTAATGTATGTGCTTGGTTGTTGACAGTCCCCCTCTATTGTTCCAAAGTGAGTTATGGGGATTTAGGAAGCACTCTGAATTGTAACTTTATACTGTTCTATTTCTGCTTTAAAGCAAATAGCATTTCACTTGGCTGTTATTGATACCATAAAATAATATAGTCAGGTTCCTTTTCTATCCCGGAACAAGGGCTTCTAGAAATTTGCAATTGTTCTGTTCTTAATCAGCTTCCCTACCTCATTTGCCATTTTCTCAGCTCCCTCTTATAACTGGCATATTCTCAGTGGTCACTCCCCTGTGATGTTAGGCTTTGTCACTACTGTTTTTATTTCTTCCACTTCTTTTAGGGTTCTGTCTATGTCAACAGTGTGCCTTCTGAAGAGTGTAGGTTAACATACTTCTGGAAAGTTAAATTAAAATGAAATGTATTCATGATGGAATACTAACAACTTTCACCTTTAGATGAATTGTTTCTTAACTCTGCTGGCCTCCTTGTACTTGATCTGCTATGTGATCTTAACCACTCTTTGCCCATAAACCTTGCAGTTCACTAATTACTTTGTTAATTTATTCATCCAACAAGAATTCATTATTCTTATTATGTGCTGGGCTTCATTCCAGGCAAGGAGAAAAACCAATGATGACCTGGCCTCTCCTGTGTGTGAGAAAGGGTAAAAAACTACACCCCCCCCCCCAACACACACCTAAAAAGATATATAGTATCAAGTGCCATAAAATAAAAAAAAAAAAAAAAAACTAAAAAAGGGCAGGAGGATAAAAATGACAAGGATAGTCAAGGAAGGTGGCATTTGAGCACACACCTGTGTAAAGTGAGAGAGTGGCCAGGCCTACATGGAAGTAAAGAATGTCCCCGGTGGAAGTAAGAGAAAAGGCACAGCTTTGAGAAAAGGGTGGTTTTAACAGAACATTGGGACCCAGCTTCAGCACTCCCATGTGACACTGTCCTCAATAGCATGAGATGGGGGTGAGCATGCCCAGGAGAGAGCAAAGAGCAAAGAGTGAGGTGGCAGAGGCCATTGTAAAAGCATCTCTGTCTGAGATTCAAAAATAATAGTAATAAATTTTGGAGGAATAAAATCTAGAAAGCTCTCTTTACTGAAAGGTTAAAACTATTGAAGGCATTAAATTAACCACACGGCATCAACAGAACTGTCATTTAAAAATCATATGTACTAGATAACTGAATCCAATATTAAAAGATGAAAGGTTGCTCAAATTTGCTAGTTGTCAAGGAAATGGAAATGAGAGAGATTGATGTTTTATTATAGCTTGATGGGGACTTTTCTTTTTTAAATGACGTATAGTTGACACACAAGTTTACATTAGTTTCAGGTGTACAACATAGTGATTTGACAGGTCTATACATGTGCTGTGTTCACCACAAGTGTAGATACCATCTCTCCCCATAGAACACTGTTACAATGTCATTGACTAGATTTCCTATGCTGTACCTTTTATCCTGCTGACTTATTCAGACTTATTCATTCCATAACTAGAAGCATATACCTCCCACTTCCCTTCACCCATTTTGCCCATCTTCCTTCTCTCTCCCATCTCTGGTAACCACCAGTTGGTTCTTTGTATTTATTGGTCTGTTAATAATATTTTATTTTTTATTTTTTTAGATTTCACATAGAAATGAAATCATACTATATTTGTCTTATTTCACTTAGCTTTATACTCTCTAGGTCCATCCCTATTGTTGTAAATGGCAAGATCTCCTTTTCTATGACTGAGTACTATTCCATTGTGTGTGTGTGTGTGTGTGTGTATAATGTATATAAATGTGTATGTGTATATATATAATGTATATAAATGTGTGTGTGTATATATATATAATGTATATAAATGTGTGTGTGTGTGTATATATACACACACACCATATTATCATTATTCATTCATCTATAGATAGACAGGGGTTGCTTCCATATCTTGGCTACTGTAAATAATGCTACAATAAAATAGAGTGCATATATCCTGAATTAGTACTTTTTCTCTGTGTAAATATCTAGTAGTGGAATTACCAGGTTGTATGGTATTTCTATTTTTTAAAAATGTTTATTCATTTTGAGAGAGAGAGTGAGAGAATGTATGTGTGTGAGAGTGGGGGAGGGGCAGAGAGGGAGGGAGAGAATCCGAAGCAGGCTCTGGGCTGTCAGTGCAGACCCTGGTGTAGGGCTCAATCTCACAAACTGTGAGATCATGACCTCAGCTGAAATCAAGAGTCAACAGTTGGGCACTTAACCAACTGAGCCACCAGGCACTTGTCATATTTCTATTTTTAATTTTTGAGGACTCTCTAGTGTTTATCATCCTGACTGAACCAATTTATATTCCCACCAACAGTGCATGAAGGTTCCTTTTTCTCCCCTCCTCACCAACACTTGTTATTTTTTGAGTCTAGCCATTTTGACCAGTGTTAAGGTGATAATCTCATTGTGGTTTCAATTTGAATTTTCCTGATGATTAGTTGTATTGAGCATATTTTCATGTGTCTGTTACCCATCTGGATGTCTGCTTTGGAAAAGTGTCTTTTCATGCCTTTTGTGCATTTTAATCATACTATTATTATTTGGTTTTGAGTTGTATAAGTTATTTATATATTTTCAACATTAACCCCTTATTGAATATAACATTTGCAAATATCTTCACCCATTCAATAGGCTGTCTTGTTTTCTTGAGAATTTCCTTCTCTGCGCCAAAGCTTTTTATTTTGGTATAGTCTCAAAAGTTCATTTTTGCTTTTGTTTACCTTGCCTCAGGAGGCCTATCTAGAAAAATGTTATTAAGGTCAGTGTCAAGGAAATTACTACCTATGTTTTAGGAGTCTCATGATTACAGGTCTCACATTTAGGTCTTTAATCCATTTTGAGTTTCTTTTTGTGGATGATGTAAGGAAGTGGTCCAGTTTCATTCTTTTGCATGTAGCTTTCCAGTTTCCTTAATACCATGTACTGAAGAGACGGTCTTTCCCCCATTGTATCTTCTTGCCTCCTTGGTCCTAGATCAATTGATCCTATAAGTGTGGGGTTTTTTGGGGGGGGGGGGGGCTCTGTTTCATTGACTTATGGGTGTGTTTTTGTGCCAGTACCATGTTATTTTGATTGCCACAACTTTATAGTGTATCTTGAAATCTGGGATTGTGACCCCCTCTAACTTTGTTCTTTCTCAAGATTTCTTGGGCTATTTGAGGTCTTTTATGTTTACATACAAATTATTCTGTGAAAAATGCTGTTGGTATTTTTATAGAGATGGTATTCAATCTGTAGATTTCTTTGGGTAGTATGGACATTTTATCTATATTCGTTCTTCCAGGCCATGAGCATTGAATATCTTCCTATTTGTGTCATCTTCAGTGAATGTTGTTTTGGTTTTCAGAATGTAGGTTTTTTTGTTTCCTTGGTTTATTTTTAGGTATTTTATTTTTGGTGGTGAAATTGTAAATGGAATTGTTTTCTTTCTCTTTCTGCTATTTTGTATATAGACACAACTGATTTTTGTGTATTATACTGCAACTTTACTGACTTCATTTATTATTTCTAATAATTTTTTGTGGAGTCTTTAGTATTTTCTATGGGTTTGGGTCTTGTCATAACTCAAATTGTGACCAAAAAATGGTGAGATTTGCCTTAGGTGTTGATGAAATTTGGGAGGAGGCAAAGGCCATTTTACTTGTTTGAAAACAGTAATACATAAAAAAAGGAAACCGATTTCTATTGTATCTACTAAATTCAGCCCATTTTTCTCTTTCTCTCTTCCTTCCCCTGTTTGCATCATACTTAGAAGACTATATGATCAAGAAGAAAAATATGGCAGGACCCACATCAGATTGTTAAATCAGGCTGCTTTAGCAGGGAGATACTATGGAGTAAGGTGGAAAGGGGAAGGGAAGGTCATCTGGAAAAAAAAAAACACCTGCAATAATAGAAAGCATGACTGCATTTAAACATTTTGTATGTACTTAGTATCTTTGGAGAGTAATGGACACTGATGTGAACTGTACTTTGAAGTGTGTGTTGGCTTTTCTTTGGAGTATGTTCGGAGTTTAACGACAGAAATCACTAGGTACTTAGAAGAAGCAAATATGGAATATAGACCAGTCATGTTCATGTTTGTGTTTGCAGGACATAAACTGGAGTTGCAACATAAAACCTGAAGTTAGTAATTTGACACTGCATATCTAGACACATAAAAAAGAATTATCTGGGTGATTGAAACATGTTTTCATCTAGATTCAATTGTCATGAACAATATGGAATATAAGGAGACTGAAAATGAGTTTTCCATCAAGTACTTGAGGCTAGCTGCATATTTTGAGGGGTATCATATATGAAGTTTAAGGGTTCCCTTCTTAATTATATTGCGGCAAACAGCTATTTCAGAAAATGTTTTAACTCCTAGCTGCACTGGCAGTAATTTACACATCCCTTTCTGATTTTGTGAATGTGCGCATCTTAATTTGGAAACAATGTGTGACCTCCTACCTTGTTTGATAGGTTTGGTCTTTTATTAGTAGACATAAGGAGAAAGGCACAGGGAGGGATTTGCCTTCCAACTGAGGGGGCAGTTAGTGTTGCACTCTGTTCGAGAGTGTCTTATTATCCTCTGCTGGTGCTCTTTTAATTGACTGGACACCAACAGGTCATTTGTCCACAATGATGAATGTGGTGGCCTCAGCAGACTTTTAAAGTTAAGGTTTGTGTCTCTTGAACTTTCTCCACTAGAGTTATTAAAAAAAAAAAAAAAAAGATTGAGGAACAGGCAATAGAGCAGTAAAAGTGTTTGGATATTCACTGAAATATATATATATATTTTAACCCACCTATGAGCAGCAAATGATGCAAATTAAAAAGTACACTTGAGTAGAATGAAAATGATTTCCATGTTTATGTTTGTCGGCAACGTATTTACAAATAACCCATATGAAAATGTAAAAAAGCATATTACATCTTCACATGCCATCTGTATTAACTGAATAAAGCTAGTGACATTATTTTCAAATCTGTAATTGTACATAGACATCTTGTGCATTAAAAAAGAAATGTACATAATTTAAAATAAATTACATTACACGATTTACAAAGTAATATTAACAAAAACTTCTTAGACAGCTGCCTCCTTATTTAAACAAAATAAATATTCAGGTAATTAAATTAACAAAAAAACACTTAGGGGATTATAATTTATATAAAGACATATTGCAAATTTAATAAAGTTATATTTTACAATGACAGATACTGATCTCTTCAAATCTCTGTGCTACAAATAGGCAGGAAAAAGTACCAGAGAGGGGATCTTAATGTTTACTTTTTAAAAACAAACACACATAGATTGCTGAAAAATAGTTGTGAAAATTTCATTGAAGTTTCAAAGTAGATGCTCTAGAAACTATTGCTTTTAAGAAAAAAAAGTCTACGAAACACAAGACTGACAGTTTTACATTCTAAATAGACTAGAGATTTTGATTGCTGAAAACATGACTGCCACAAACTAAAAGTTTTTGTATACTGCTCGTTTTCAGATCTGGCTGGGTAGAAGCATGAAAACATAAAACTACGTTAACTCTATCCACTTAGCATGTTTTACTCAATAAAGTAGACATAACCATTTTCAGTGTCCCTGCTAGACAGAGAATTACCATCATCACACTGCAAAACATCCTTTTTATGAAGAGTCATGCTTGCTAGGCCCACACTCCAGTTTAAGAGGCCGAAATCCTCTTCTGTAGTCAGGGCTACCTGAAGATGGGACCAGGTGGGACAGGCAGATGTTGTATTCTCACATGTAAACTAGACCTAAGAAAGCTCACTTGCTGACAAGATTCTTCACAAATTCTTTCCCGTAAGGCTCTCCCTTTCAACACCTTCGGACTTGGTGGGAAATAGAACAAGAAACACGTTTGAATTTGGCAATACTTTTTTACACATACATCTCAGATGATTTTGGAAGCATGATTCTTACAAATCTATTCAAACTCCCACTAAGCCCAAGAAGGGGCTCTCCTTTCTGTAAGGTACAGGCCTGCCTTCCTCTCTTAACAGGGTGGGACATGAGCACAGAGGTGAGGAGGAGGGAGAGATAACTGGGTCATACTTAAGAGGATAGAAATTGACATTTTTACAGTATTTTTTTTTTTTTTTGAGGGGGGTATGTCTTCTACATCTTACATTTTGTTTGAATCAAGATGTTCACACTCTAAGTGACACTTGGACTGTAATAGGTAAGAAATAGCTTCACCTTTTCCCCCCTTACTTAACACTTTGAGCATGCATTGGTAGATGGCAGTTCTGAGAAGAGTAGACAACATTGTTGTTAAGAGAGCAGAGAGACACCAGAGAAAATGATCATAAAGGAGCAATGGGGACAGAGATTTAGAGGAGGTTACTGAGAGATATTACTTCCTGTAAGAAGTTCTGCATATGTGGCTTTATCTTGGAATGTCCAGGAACTTAACAGTGTTCTGATTAAGCCACAATGAGCATTGCCACCTGCCTGAGGGCAAAGGAGGGTTACAGCAAAAGCCTAACAGCATGGCCTGAGACATGGACATTACACAAGGTAAAAATCTCACACTAGAGACAAATCGAGTAAAGGGTGATTTAAGTAACTTCTTCACTCATTAAACATAATTCTTTTTTTGAATGTCTTCCATACAAAAGTCATGACTAATTGTTTTACAGTGTCTAGCAGAGTATCTTACATGTGATAATTCAAGAAGTATTTGTTTTGTCATAAGTGATTTGTGCTTTGTTATAATTAAGAACATGCTTTTATGCACTCCTTTCTAAATTAGCTTGAAGCTACACTATAGTGTCTTCAAAAAGGCTTTCAAATAAGAATTCTGGTCTATATCCTAGATGAGATAGTGATAAAGAAGCAAATCACCCTCTAAAGAGAGATCAGTTGTGCCAATTTTGTGTGGTTTCTATTGAAACAATCCAACAAAATAGTATAATACTGTGTCATTCTTTTTTTTTCTTTTTTTTTTTAAACCAAACAGACCTTCATGTTTATAGAGCCGTAGTTCTAAATCTTTTGTGGGCTCACAGGTCATTTTGGTAAGGCAAAAGTGTCAACGGACCAGTTACTAGTATATCCCCCTCCTGAACTGCTAGATTGAACAGGAGGAATAAAATATTTATAACATTCCAGTAACGTACTTCATTCATTATTGCCTCATGCCAGGAACAAAACTAAGGCTATTTTCATGTTGTAAACATGAATATAGTAACCTTCATTTGTCCAAAATAGCCAGCTGGCTACATGTCCTGCCTTCCATCTTTGTAACAAGAGGCCACCCAGTATTTATCCTAACAGTGAACTTCCAATACGTTCCCTAGTGTTAGGTCACATTGAACCCAGTCTCCTTCATATACATAGTGTTGTAAAATGTAACTAATTTAAGAATAAAATAATGTATTTTCATGAAATTAATTTTGATCAGTTCATTAATTCTTAATATATGGGTTACACGATACCGATCTGCCTTCTGAATTAGTGACCTTTTACAATATCAGAAGTATAGCTTTTGTGCAATGCTATTTTATTCTATTCAGTAACTTCAAAGTTAGTAGGTGCTGCATGCGTTTTATAAGGCTGTTAGCTAAATTCTTCAAGTAACTGCAGATTATTTCTCAACCATTTTGTACAAATGGAGTTCATTTTATTCAAAGAGATCAACTTGAGGATTATCTGGAAGACCCCTGAGTGCATACACTGACGATCACAGTTTTAGAACAATCATATGATTTTTATTCCTTCTCTTCAATAAGACAGATGCAATGGAATTTGTTTTTATGAGTTTCTTTGTTTAAATCTTTGATTTAAAGTAAAATTCTCATCTTTGTGACCACCTATTTGCTTTTAAATGATTTGCTTTGCCTAATACAGTGAATGTTTAATAAGGAATTAGTGCTTTATACATTTAATTCTTAGTGAAATAGGTAGAAATTTGTTAATTTTTGAGGCAACAACATCTGATAATCTGATGTTTTTTGTAATCTTTGCAAATAATCCAATGAACAGCAGGGGGAGCTCAAACTCTACTATGAATGTAAAACACCTAGTCTAAACCACTTTTATAGCAACACAGCTATGTTTAAGATAAAATAGCTTATTATACTATTTTTAAAAGACCTGAAAACCTAATGTCCTCCCCTCTACAAAATGTTGTTGCAGTAAATGTTGCCTGAAAAATGGAATTGCTTTTTAATGGCACCTTTTGAATTTTCTTTTCACACACAAGAAGTCTACCAAATCAGATAGATAGTACTTCACTGTGCCTTTCCCAGGGCTACTTCTGTGAAAAATACAACTACTTCCAAAACAGTGAAAAAGTTGAATGACTCCTTTTCACTTTTGAAATTAAACAGTTCTCATATTCTAAGGTAAATGAATGAAAACAAAAGATGACACAAGAGGTAAGCACTGAAAAAACTTCTAGACCAGTGGTCAGCAAACCACAACCTGCAAATGAATGTGACCTGATGACTGTCTTTATAATGGGAGGTTTACTGGGAAACTGCCGTGTTCATTCTTCTATGTACTGTGTATTGTCTACACCTGCATTCTTCTGATGACAGAATTGAGAAGCTGTGACAAAGACCTGGCTGAAAATTTCTATCTGGGCCTTGACAGAAAATTTTGCGACCCTTGGTCTAGATATTTAACAAAGCCCTGGGCAAAACACTTATTCTCTCTTGAAAATTTTAGCTTTTGAAATCATACAAAGACTCCTTCAAATTTTAGTAGTAAGAAAGACACAACCATGGATACATTTGACATGAAACGAAGAATGTGAATCGGGAAAAAGAAGAGTCAACACACAATTTTGATTCCTTTTAGTTACAAAAATTATCAAGACCTTATTTTCTCCATCTGCTCAAAATTAAAAAGACAACCAGCTCCTTTTTTTCTTTTCTTTTCTTTTTTTAACAAAGATAACAAATATAAAAATCTAGTCATAAACAGCCTTCAAAGTACAATTAAAAACCAACTAGAGAGATCCATCTTTTGAAAGGTTAATGAGTTCGGGATTTGAACATTTAAATCCCTGCCATGTGGTTGATTTCGCAATGGCTGCAGCAATGAGGAAGAGTGTATACAGCAGATGTAATAGCGAATTCCATCCTGTTGCCATCCAAACTGAACTTTGTACTCTTTAGAATGCAAGAACTTGCAAATGTCTCCATGACACTCTGAGCACATATGTCTTCATCCCATATGAAAAGAGGCAGTTTCTATGGCAATACTGGTTAAGTGCCTATCATGCTGCACTAATATAGTGCAAAAATGTGCCTTCCATATAGCAAAAGAGATGCAGGCAACCAGTTTGAAAATTAGGGAAAGTAGAAATATATTAACACAAGCAAATAAGTTTTCCAGACAATAACCACTATAAAATACTGAACTTGAGGACTTTTTTTTTTTTTCTCTAAGATCCTAGTACATGTCCAGCATTCGTATTTTGGAGAAAGACACGAACTAATTCTTAGAAGAAAGTCTTTGCCTCTGAAATGCAGGTTAATGAAAGCTATCATCAACGACCAAGATGCTGAATTTACTCAATGGGTTTTCTCCGCTTAGAGCTTATCTTTTATTCGCTTATCTTTTATTCACCATTAAAATTGCTTATTAACAAGTACATAGTCTGATGTAGTAATGTGTATCATTCAATTGCGTATACATGTTGTTATGCTTCACTATAGTATTGTAGAGATCTTGGTATAAACTCTTCATGCTAAAATGTTGTTACGGGTTAACACTGCCGACAGAGGCTTGGATCAGGCATCCTAACTGAACAATTCCACAACCATATTTTAGAGATGAATGTGAATTGTCAGTTGATAGATTTCAGAAAAGATCACAGAAAACTTAGAATGCAGCATGTATTCAACTAAAACTCCTAGAATTCTCAGGGCTGTTTTTTTTTTTTGTTTGTTTTTGTTTTTTTGTAAGTGGTACTGTCTTAATATCTCCAATGGCACTGTGATTTTCACTCCTTTCTTTGATGCTCTTTTAAAAAGTTACATTGCATTTTAATTCACACAGTATGAAGAGCTTTGTGGCTTCTGGATGTCTACTGCAAAGTCAGAAATCTGAAACTGGTTGTTGCCAGGGTAAGTTATATTTTACATGTCTGCGTCTCCATCATAGGCTAAGGTTAAAGGTTTCAGTCGGTTGTTTTGCCTTCTTTGGGGTTTCTTTGGCTTTTTGCTGTAAACAACACAATAGGAGAAAGAATCATTTGTAAATTTTACTGTTTCAAATGACAAACTTTGAAATGTATTGATAAAGTTGCTAATTGCCTGTATGACCTAAATTCAATCTTAGAATTGGATACTCTGGTATCTTTGAATTTCTTAGGTATGGTCTGAATAAAATTGAAAAAGAACTCCTCCCGTATTTTATTATCTTATAAAAGTGAATTATCAAATGGTATTCCTCTGGTACTAACAATGGAAATACTGTAGTATAGTCATTTATATTTGAGCAGAAATCTTCATAAATAATACATAATTTATAATATATGTTTAAAAAGGTAGTTGAATCGGATTAGGTATGACCATAATCTCTTCCTCCAGTGGTAACTGAGGATCAGTCTGGAGTTCACCGTAAGCATATGAAGCAGTATTCTCTTGCAGAACCAAGAACACACTTAAGATGACCTGGCGCAGCTCTGGCTCATTTTCAGATTTCAAACGGCTCAGATTTGGTAGGTTTTAGACCAACTATGACAGAAGCCATTTTTATTTAGAATTGCAGACGAACACTCAATGTGGAATACTTATTTGATATAGTTTGCTGTTCCTGTGTTATGGTCAACCGACAGTATTTTTGCTGAAATAGATTGTTGTGCCCCCTTAGATTGTGAAATAGTTACTCACCAAGCTAGATAAATCATGGAGACAATAAAGATGAGTAACACAAATGCCCCAGCTGCTACACCGTAAACCCAGGTCTTTAGTCTCCCATCTAAGAAGAATGGATATCAGTCATTAATTTACATTAGTTTGGTGTGTGATTTTATATATATATATATATGTGTATATATATATATATATATGAGACAGTCTTTAACTATGACCAATGACCAGCCACATATGACCACATTGTTTCAAAACAAAATGAATTATTGCTTAGGCACAGTTAATGATGAATGCAACGCTGCTACTATGAGTTAGATGCTGCTTCATTAAAGGTAAATTATCAATGAGACTTGAAAGGCAAAGAAATAATGTTTTCAATTAAATTTGTGTTCAGATTTCAAGTTTATATGCCTAAATTTTTGCTGCTGCTTAACTAAATTTTAGTTCAAATGAAATATGTGTGTAATGCTAAATAAACATTTTGTTCTGATTTTCACTCTAAGAATGGCAATTACAAGAAGAAAAATAATGCAATTTCAAGAAAGTCCAATAGTTTAGGGTTGATGTAGACAGGTATTTGAACATAAATTTTGTCACTTTAGCCTTTTTTTTCCTACATGAATTGAAAGTGAATCTATTCAACATTTTTTTTAGAATTAATCTTTTATCTAATTTACACTTACACTGTATTTTAAGGTTCATTTGACAACATCATTTGCGAAAATAGCCAAGTTTGATTATAACATATAACTTTTTAACTCTGAATAATTTTTTTCTAACTTTTCTATTATGTGGAATTAGGCAAGACAGGAACTTCCCTAATTTGGTTTTCTGGTCTTATTTTCTTTGAACTTCTTAGTTTTGTGCTGAGAATAAACTTCAACTAGAAGATAGTATTAATAACCTTACCTAACTTAATCTGAAACTCACATCAACATATATTTTCTGTTGCATACATAAAATTAAAGGTGCTATTGGTGCAAAAATTATAGATTGGGCAAATGGACTTCAGAGACACTCTGGTTTATTTAATATTTGGAAGGCATCAAAAACAAATGTTTTTTCTACCTGAAGCTGGATCAACCCAGGGGGTCCATTAGTTGGAAACAATCTGTTAATATTCTAAATAGCCTTCTTTTCAATTCTAAAGACTTAAAAAATTAGACACTGGTTTAAAATCTGCCCTGAGAGTTCTTCAACAAATAATCTTTGAGTTCCTCAAAAACCAAGAACAATGCCTAAGTGTACTTTTTAAGAACACAAACCTTTTTAATATACTAAAATACTCACTTTAGGGAAGCTATATATTAAACTTAAAACACTCTTTTTAAAAACCAGTTTTGATTTGAGGAGATCTGCATGGATTCTTATTCAAGGTCACAATTGCTAACAGCCATTTGCTGGTCCACGATCTTGAATACTGAGAGAAGAGTTTCCCGTGTTTGCAAAGACAAGTCAGCTTTGCAAAATATATTGTATTTCAGCTAAGAACCTTACCAAGGCAGGGATAATGTGGTTAAATCACAGTATTTGAGCTACCTCACTCCAAAACTGAAAATACTTAAAATCCTAATAATGATTCTCCAGTAAGGGAAAGTGTTTTGACTTAATACATTCCAAAGAGAGATGTGCTAGCTATGAGGATTCTTTCTTTTCTCATGTTTCTAACAAGTATAAGGTAGACTGCACCTGGCTTTGCCTGGAGATTTCCTTTGGTCACTAACTAGCAATTCCTCTTGGTGTAAGAGACACCATCATGATCTTACCTACCATATAGCCTTCATAGCACAATTTTCAGTACCAGCGTTAGTTCTAGGAATAAGCATATAGTTGATTTCAACTGGGGAGAGAAAGTATGCAGAGTAGGGATAGCATTTTATTAGACCTACAAGCTTTTGCCCGTATTGGCTTCAAGTCCATTACTAGACACATTAAGAATGTCTGTTTAATATGACAGGGGTCTGGTCAGTCTTCAAATTTAGATCATCCCATCTAGACAGGAAGGCTCCATCCCTGCCCTTCTGTATCTGATGCTAGTACAGGTTCTGATTATTTCAGTTTATCAAACGGAAGAGCTGATAGAAATTGGGCTGGCCACCAAGTGCCCCTTGGCACAGCACTGCATTACTGATGTTCCTATTTTAGGTTCAAATTATTACCCGTCTGTGGTCAAATGAAAAATTCTTGAATGTCTTTACAGTTTTATTTGTTTCAGTTCTGAATGACAATACACTTTTTTCCTCATTAATATTTTCACTGTTAGATTTCTTTATTCAATATGATCGTAATTATACTTGTAAATGTAGGTCTGAGATCAAAATAACTAATACCCTAATTTTTTTTTCCATAGAAGAAAGTCATTTCTCTGAACTTTGAGCATGAGTGCTTTTTTTATAATAGTACAAACATAATATATGGCAGTATCAGAATAAATGAGTACAGATGAAATAATTAATAGCTCATATGAAAATGCTTGCTCATTCTTTTAATCCTTTGACATGGTTAAATGTATAAGTAAGAGATTCTACATCAACACTGTCTAGTCACTTCACCTGGCCCAAATGGCTGTAGAAACCAGGTCCTTCCCCGTCCTGTTGGGTTATTGGAGGATGGGGTTGGATGTACTGCGCGACTCGTTTTCACATCTCCTCTTTTGTCCTCCACAGTGGGTATCACCACCACGGGGATAAGTGTGCATTGCTCAAGTGTACCATTAGAAGACATGACTTCAGTGTATCCTTCTTCACAACTGCATGTCCTCATCTGCAGGAGAACAAGAGGATTTCTACACATATAAGGTGATCTTTGAAAGCATGACAGATAGGACTTGAAGAGAAGGCTTTCAAGAAGTATTGTTTTGGAAGTTTACCACATGTAGTTTCTGTCTTAACTACATAAAAAAGGACATACATTTTTTACTGTACACAAATTATTCTAACAGAAACAAGTACGTTCAGAATTATTTACATTGATAAACAGAGAGGTCCAGAAATTAAGTTGCAGGCCTCAAGACGTGCGTTTTGGGGGGGGAAATGGACTGTACAAGAGTCAGTGGGGGGAGAAATAATGAAGCTAGTTTATTTATCCTAATGAATTCACACATACCTCACTACAGTAAGAGTGGGGTTGACTACACGGTGGGTTACAAGACCTGTCAGCATCAGGCTGGCGCACCACCAAGCAGCCCCCTGCAGAACAGAAAATCATACATTGACAAGCAGCATCTCTTGCAATGATAGAAATACACAATTGTATAGACGTGTCTTTGAATCCTGAACCACTTTGGGATTTTTCTGAGAGCAACTGATTGTGAGATAGTTGGTTAACCTTGACCACTTTATACAGGAACTTGAGGCTCTTCTTTTTTATTTTTCTTAACATTTACTTATTTAAAAAAAAATTTTTTTTAACGTTTATTTATTTTTGAGACAGAGAGAGACAGAGCATGAATGGGGGAGGGTCAGAGAGAGAGGGAGACACAGAATCTGAAACAGGCTCCAGGCTCTGAGCTGTCAGCACAGAGCCCGACGCGGGGCTCGAACTCACGGACCGTGAGATTGTGACCTAAGCTGAATCTGGTGCTCAACCAACTGAGCCACCCAGGCGCCCCAACATTTACTTATTTTTTGAGAGAGAGCGTGAGCAGGGGAAGCACAAAGAGAGAGGGAGTTACAGATTCTGAAGCAGGTTCCAGGCTCTGAGCTGTCAGCACAGAGCCCAACGTGGGGCTCAAATTCAAGAACTGTGAGATCATGACTTGAGCTGAAGTTGGATGCTTAACTGACTGAGCCACCCAGGCGCCCCAGAGACTCTTGTTCTTCTTCAGAACAGATGGCACAGAGCCTGGAACTCAGCAGGTGCTCAGTAAGTGCTTGTTTTTTAGTTGCTAATTTGAAAACACTAATTGCACAAGGGCTATTTCTATCCTAGAACCCCCTGTTGGCCCAGTTTAACATTACAAAACAGATTTAATTTTCCTTCAAAGTTAACTTTTTTCTTGGCTATTCAAAGAAATAGTTGTCACATTCTTTGAGATGTCTCTTTAATTTACGTGACTACCACATACATGTTCTTTAATAATGCGTATTTCTTTGAGAAAATTTACAATTCCTGCTAATTCAGGAGTTGTGGGGGTAGAGGAAAGAAAACACTTGTAGCTACTAGGAGGTATATTTATGTTATTGTTTAAACTTGACATGGCAGCGCTGTTTTTTCTTCCTTCTCTTTCTTCTTTTCAAGTAAAGTGTGCCTGCATAAATTGTTAAAAGTGAGGTTTTAAGGGGCGCCTGGGTGGCGCAGTTGGTTAAGCGTCCGACTTCAGCCAGGTCACGATCTCGCGGTCCGTGAGTTCGAGCCCCGCGTCGGGCTCTGGGCTGAGGGCTCAGAGCCTGGAGCCTGCTTCCGATTCTGTGACTCCCTCTCTCTCTGCCCCTCCCCCGTTCATGCTCTGTCTCTCTCTGTCCCAAAAATAAATAAACGTTGAAAAAAAAAAAATTTATATGTAAAAAAAAAAAAAAAAAGTGAGGTTTTAAGATGGGAACAGATGTCCTAGAGAAACCATATTGCTGATATGGAAGGAACTTAGAGTTTCAAACCATACTTGCTCACTTGAACAGAATTTTAGGAAAGCAAAGTTTTTTCCTTTATTTATGGAACTGATCATCCCCTGGGATTTAATCAAAGATAACTATTGTTAATTCTTTGCCTTATCTCTCAATAATGTAAATACACTATTCATCAAAAAAAAAAATTTGTGATGGGAAAGCAGTTAGTCATTGCAAGGCAATTGCAGTTAAATGTCCATGTTTGAGTTATTATCATTAAACACATGAAGAAAAAGGAAAATAACATCTTGATTTCTAATAAGGACAACTTCATAAGACAGAAGCAGGGGGTCAAGGTAGGTAATATACTTCACATGCTTGTCTATTTCTCATAAAGAAATCTTACCACTCCTAAAAGATGGCAGAAGAATGCATACAGAGTTTATCACAAATCATTTACATGTTGGCTTTTTGGTATCAAAGAGTATTAGAAAGAAATACATGGAATAGTTTAACGAATTAAAAAGAAGGTGAACATATGATTTCTACAGTAAGTCTTTTAAAATTTGACTTACCTTGACATTGGGGACTATCCCCAATTTTAGTGAGAAAAGAGCTTTTTTTTTATTTTATTATTTTTTTTTAATTTTTTTTCAACGTTTATTTATTTTTGGGACAGAGAGAGACAGAGCGTGAACAGGGGAGGGGCAGAGAGAGAGAGGGAGACACAGAATCGGAAACAGGCTCCAGGCTCTGAGCCATCAGCCCAGAGCCCGACGCGAGGCTCGAACCCACGGACCGCGAGATCGTGACCTGGCTGAAGTCGGATGCTCAACCGACTGCGCCACCCAGGCGCCCCGAAAAGAGCTTTTAATATGTAGAAGAACAGGCTAACAAATACTATTTGCATCCATGTTTGGAAAAAAGCCCTGAGAAGTAATAGGACCCTCTGGGGAAGCTGCAACAGCCCCTCTGAATAGTTTAAAGAATGCAGACCTTCATTTTCAACACTTGAGTCGAATGCACCACCTCTATAAATGCCTTCAAATTTAGAAAATCTATGCTTCCCTTCCCAGGACTCTTTCTCCCCATATGCCTCTTAACAGTGGTGTGGTTGGAACCTTTTCTGCCTAATACTGAGAGAGAGCAAAGAGTTTCCTGGCAGGGGTCTCTTCTTTGTTATATATGTGTCCACTGGGGGTTGCTATTATCAATGGTTTCTTGATACAGATTTGTCATGTATAAAATCTTATCTTCACAAAAACATAATTTGATATCCTGTTCCAGCTTTCATAGGGAGGAAATAAGTAATTACGTTTAAATAAATGCAGGTAATTTAAAATTTAATATAAAAATTGATGCTTTCCAAAAAGCATATTGATTCCTGTTCCTGTTATCTTGATGTATATATTACAGCTAAATTTATAAATGGACATTACTCACAGACACCCAAATGCACATTACTTTCTCTCTCTGCCAGAGGGTCAAAACGATGGCAGTACATCAGCAGGTTCCCCTAAGCAGTTAACTGTCAAACTCATGCTACTGCTGCACTATGAAGATCTCTATAGATTAGACTTACACAAATAAATTGTTGAAGGAGAGATCTTAGATCTTTGGGTCATATGTTTAAGGTTGAGGTTCTGGCTCCAACCTTGTTTTTTTTTTCCTAGGAAATTTGCAAGGTGGTTCAGTACATACCTGGAGCCAAGTTTCTTGCTACTTCATAGGGACATTAAGATCCCTTGCATTTACTGAGTTTAGATAAGGAGACTTGAAGTAATTGCAGATTAGAGAAGCTCTTTGGGGGTATATTTGGGTCAAGGGACATTTCAGAAAGATTTTTCATTTGGATTTCTTCTTTGAGTATAGAATTTTTGAGTGGAGACAGAGTGGGTTAGCTGCCCAGATAGTCTGGGCTTGAGATTTGCCAACAGATTTTACCTATTAATGAATAGAAAACTAAAACATAGATTTCTGAATTATCTAAGTATCAAGGTACTTAGATTTGTAAAACCATACTCCCTTTGTAATACTTCTGGTCTGCATGTATATGGTCTCTAAGATCCAGAAACAAAATATATATCTATATCTTTAGTAGGTGGTAAGTTATTCACATATAAAAATTGTTAGAAAAGATAATCTGAGAATTATGATAATTTATTGGAATTAGACTATTTTAACCAAACTCATGCAGCAATGTCTAAAATGGCTAGATGAGGGAGAATTTAATTGAAACATTAAAAAATAGTCATTGGTCACCAGTTATATATAGCCTAGTTACTGAATTCGAAACATGTTTTGGATACCTTGAGTATCTTTGTCTCCTTAATTGTTTAACCAACTGCATGTGTGTTACAGGAAGACTTTCAAAAACCAAAGAAATTTGGAGGTTTACCTGTTACGTTTATACCATCTGACCTTTGACACCAGACTGTTCGGGAAGAACCTTTCCAAGCACTGGCCATCCATTTGTATTCATAACACTGTCCATCTGCAGGGACACAATTAACATGAACAGAAGCATTCTGCTGTCTAGAAGGGCAATCGTGGGGAAAGTATATTAGGAAAATATTTATAAACAACTGAAAAGTGGTGAATCCATCTCAAAAATGATTCGAATGTTACTGTCCTAAAATTACCATAGAAATGTTATAAAATTCTCGATACATTGCTAAATCCCAACTAATGTTTTATGTCCACTGTCATATCTGATGTGAACTTGGATTTTTAATATAACGTAACGTTCAAAGTATTATAAAATATCAAATTTACATACAGGGGCAAATAATAACAAAAAATGTTCAATTACTTATGCAGTTTTAACAAATACTACCATTTAGACATGTTTGCTTTAGTTTTGTCTGCTGGGGAGTGAAAAATAAGATGAACGTGATGTCCTATTATTAGGTCCTCTTCCTGTTGTGATATTCCTCCATATCTATCCAGCAAAAGCCACTATTTTAAAGTAGATACATGGATTCCTTTGCCATGTTTTTTATTCTTTTAATATAATACGTTATATGAGGTATGTATATATCCATAAAATACAGCACATCTGGTCCTCAAACAACATGGAGGTTAGGGGCATGTACCCCTATGCAGTCTAAAGTCTGTGTAGAACTTTGACTCCCCAAAATTTAACTATAAACAGCCTACTGCTGACCGGAAGCCTTACTGATAGTTAACACATACTTTGTATTATATATGTTATGTACTATGTGCTTAAAATAAAACCAGAAGGAAGAGAAAGTATAGTTATTGCATTTCTATTAACAAAATCCACATGTAAGTAGACCTGCAGGATTCAAACCATGTTGTTCAAAGGTCAACTGGATTATTAAAAATTCTAAAAGCATACTGTATGTGTCAATCTGAAACATTCAGTATTGTAGAAGAACTATTTCTATGCGATTTTTTTATAATGTAGCTCTGGTCTTATTTAACTGCTATATAAAATTCCACTGTACTAAATGCCAGAGTTTTTTGTTTGTTTGTTTTTAGCTATTTCTTCTCTGGATGGCCTTTTAGGTTCTTTTCAATTTTTGCTATTAGTACAATGCCTCAGTGGTCCACCTTCTGCAAGTCTCCATGTGCTTCTTTAGAGTAAACATCGAGAAGAGAAATTGCTGTATATCACCATATGGATGGCTGCAACCTTCCTAAATATAACTTTTTTTTTCCCTCCCCAAAACAACAATCCACACACCCACCAGCAGTGAATAAGTGTTATCATTGCTTAAGCCTTTAATAACATTGATAATTGCCAGATTTAAAACTTCTGGTTTGTCTGGTGGGTGTGGAAGCTGTATTGTCATTCAAAAATTTTTAATGTTTACTTACTTTTGTGTGTGTGTGTGAGAGACAGACAGAGTGTGAGCAGGGGAGGGCAGAGAGAGGAAGACACAGAATCCGAAGCAGGGTCCAGGCTATGAGCTGTCAGCACAGAGCCAGACAGGAGGCTCAAACTAGTGAACTGCGAGATCATCACCTGAGCTAAAGTCGGATGCTCAACTGACTGAGCCAGCCAGGTGCCCCTATATTGTCATTTTAAATTGTAGTTCTCTAATTACTAAAGCTATTAAAGAGTAACAATGTTTTGGGGGCATTTAGACTTCCTTTTATGAGAATTGCTTCTTTATATCTTGTGGCCATTTTTTTATCCTACTGAAATCTGTGCCTTTTCTTATTGAATTGTGGGAAAAATTTATTCTAGGATAGCAGTTCTCAAAGTATCCTGTAGAGAACCTGGGAGACTTTGACATTCTCCCAGGTGCGTGTGTGTGTGTGTGTGTGTACTTTTTCAAGTACACATTCATGTGACTAGAGCTGGGTTTTCTTCATATACATAAACCAAAATAAGACTGCAACAGATTGAATGCAGAAGTAGAGAATCCACCTGTCTTCCTTTAAGCCAGATATTAGAGATTTGCAAAAATGTAAAACAAGACCATACTTGTGAAAGTTACTGTTTTTGTTTTGCAAAATAATTATTTTTCAGCAAGTATGTTATTTACGGTTACACAACATTGGTTTATGATTATTTTAAATCTTTTCATTTTTAATACAAACTTTTATGTATCTAAAATTCACAAAAGAAAATTTGGATCAGTCGTTGTAGATACTAATCCTTGGAAATTAACTGCCCTCACAAATATATTTTCTAAGTCTGTAATTTCTTTCTTAGCCTTGTTTATGATCATTTACTATGTAGAAGATTGAAATTTTAATTTAAAATAATTTTTCTACCTTCCCATTTTTGTTCTTTTTGCGTCCTATGTAGGAAATTATTCCCTACCTTGAGTTTATAATGATATTCTCCTATATTTTCTTTTAAATGTTGTATAGTTCTATTTCACTTTCAGGTCTATAATTTATCTAAAACACAATTTTATGTATGGTGTGAGATAAAGATAATTTTAAAAACATTACACGGGTAACAAGTTATTGCAACATTATTTACCCACCTACTACCCTACTGATTTTCATTTCTGTCATGTATCCATATATGACAATTTTTTCCTGAGATTCTTTCATTAGTTTAATTGCTTTATTGTTGACTTGTCACTCTTTAAATTATTAATGCTGTAGAATAAATTTTGAAAAAAGCCATGTAAGTCCCCTAATCTCTCCCACTTTTTCCTTCTTGAAATTCTGGGATCTTATTGGTCTTCGACCTCTTTGTATTAATTTTTGGGTCAATATCTCATAACACATTAAAAATCTGTTCAAATTGCCAGGGTGCTTGGGTGGCTCAGTCAGTTAAGCCTCCCCACTTTGGTTCAAAAATGATACCATGGTTCATGAATTCAAGCCCCAGGTGGGGCTGTGCTGACAGCTCAGAGCCTGGAGCCTGCTTTGGATTCTTTGTTCCCCCTCCCTCTCTTTGCCCTTCCCTCACTGTGCCTTGTCACTCAAAAATAAATAAATACTAAAAAAACAAATCTGTTCACATTAGGAAATGCTCAGCACGGTGAGTGTAGTTATCATCTGTCACAATACAAAGTTATTAAAATCTTACTATATTCCCTCTTATCCCTCTGACTTCTTTACGTTGTAACTGGAAATTTGTAACTCTTAATCTCCTTCACCTATCACTTACCTGGCAACTACTAGTTTGCTCCCTGTATTTATGAATCTGTATCTGTTTTCTTGTTTTGTTCATTCGTTTTGTTTTCTAGGTTCCACATATGAGAGTAATCATATGGTATTTATCTTTGTCTGACTTTCTTTAATTATACCCTCTAGGTTCACCCACACTGTCTCAAAAGGCAAGATCATATTCTTTTGTATGGCTGAGTAATGGAATATTGCACACACACACGTGTGTGTGTGTGTGTGTATTATACCATATATTTATCCATTCATTTACTGATGGACATTTAGCTTGTTTTGCTCTTGTAAATAATGCTGCAATAAACATGGGGTGCATAGGTCTTTTTGAGTTAGTGTTTTTCTTTTATTTGGGTAAGTACCCAGAAGTGGAATTACTGGGTTATGGTAATTTTAATTTTTTGAGTAACCAACATACTGTTGACCACACTAACTGTACCAATTTACATTCCCATCAAGGATGCATGAGAGTTCCTATTCTCCACATCTTTGCCAACATTTATTTCTTAGCCATTCTGACTGGTGTGAGGAGATACCTCATTGTGGTTTGGGTTTACATTTCCCTGATGATTTGTTGAGCATCTTTTCATGTTGGCTATCTATCTGTGTCTCTTTCTTGGGGGGAAAAATGTCTATTCAGGTCCTTGCACATTTTTTAGATTGTTTTTGGTGTTTTGTATAACTTCTTTATATATTCTGGATATTAACCCCTTTTTGGATTTATGATTTGCAAATATCTTCTCCCATTCAATAGGTTCCTTTGTTGTTTTGTTGACAGCTTCTTTCTCTGTGCAAAAGCTTTTCATTTTAGTGTAGTCCCAATAGTTTATTTTTGCTTTTGTTTCTCTTTCTGGACATCTAGAAAAATGTTGCTAAGGCCAATGTCAAATTACTGCCTACTTTTATTCTAGGAGTTTTATGGTTTTATGTATATGTCTTTAACCCATTTGAGTTTATTTTTGTATGTGGTATAAGAAAGTGGTCCAGTTTTATTCTTTTGTATGTAGCTGTGCAGTTTTACCGGTACCATTTATTGAAGAAACTGTCTTTTCCCTATTGTATCTTCTTGCCTCTTGTGTACCAGATTAATTGATCATGTAAGTATGGGCTCTCTATTCAGTTCCATTGATATAGGTGTCTAATTTTGTGCCAGTTCCACATGTTTTTGATTACTATAGCTTTGTAGTATAGTTTGAAATCTGAGATTATGCTGCTTCCAGCTTTGTTGCTCTTTCTCAGGATTGCTTTGGCTATTCAGGGTCTTTGTGATTCCATATAAATCTTAGGAGTATTTGTTCTAGTTCAGTGTAAAATACCATTGGTACTTTGATAGGGATTATATTTACTCAGTAGATTGCTTTGGGTAGTATGAACATTTTAACAATATTTTCCTAATCCATGAGCATGATAGATGTTTTTATTTATTTGTGTAGTCTTCAATGTCTCATAAATGCCTTATTGTTTTTAGTGTACAGGTTTTCACTTCCTTGGTTAAGTTTCTTCCTAGGTATTTTGTTCTTTTTGGTGCAATTATAAGTGGAGTTTTTTTTTTCTTTCTTCTACTTTGTAATTAGTGTATAGAAATGCAACAGGTGTCTACATATCATATCGATTTTGTATCCTGCAACTTAACTGAATTCATTTATTGTAATAGTTTTTTGGGGGAGGGTTTTCTATGTATAATACCACATCATCTGCAAGCAGTGACAGTTTTATTTCTTCCTTACCAACTTGCATGCTTTTCTTTTTATTGTATGATTGCAACATCTAGGATTTTGAGTACTACACTGACTAAAAGTGGTAAGAATGGATAACATCCTTGTTGTACTTCTGTTCTTGATGGTGAAACAACTAAGAGCTTGTCTGAGGATGATGTTAGCT